CCCAGTCGCCCGAGGCGTCCTCGGAGAACGACCCGAATCCCAAAACCGTGCGGCGACCCCGAATGCCCCCCTTCGGTGGCAGCTCATGGGAGCCTCCCATACCATCTTGTCGGCTCTTGCGAATCGACGCTGATCGACGCTAGATCGACGGTAATCGACACTAAATCGACGCTAATCGACGCTAGCCGACGCTGAATCGGCGCTAGCTCACCGACTCCAGACGCTAATCGACGCTAATCGACGCTAAAGACAGAAATAAGAGGGTATACCAGGCAGGCTCCCATGATTTGCCACCGAAACCCCCCCACTGACTCACGACACCGTCCTCCGAGTGTTCGGTTTCTGGACCATGCCTCGAACCTCTGACGGCCGTTGTTGAGGACGATCTGGGCACCCCTGGAACGCTCTTAGCTCGGCGCGGCGCAGCTGCTGGAACGCTTTCTCCGTCGGCGGCGAGGCAGAGGCAGGCCGCACCAGCGCAGGGCTAATCGGGGCAACCGACAGGCAAATTTTCTGGCGTGCAAGAGAGCGAGGCGAAGACGAGGGCAGCCGCGCGAAGGGAGGAGGGGGAGGGGGAGGGGCTGCTGGAACGCATGCTGAGGCAAGAGAACCACCAGGAACCGACGAAAACATCAGAAAACGTCAGAAAACTGAATTCCCTGAGTTTCCATCTTCTACCCCTTCCGACCAGCAGGTGGCTGGTTTGGTGATTTGATCGAGGGACAACCAACCGCATGAACATCAACTTCTCGGACCTCCGCGCGGATCTCGTGGATCTGCGCTGGACCCCCCCCCCCGTGGCGCGCTGAGCGCGCCAGGGGCAGCGCCGGAGGTGCCGCCAGGGGGGGCCAAGCGCCGATCCAAGGGATCCGCGCGGAGCTCCGCAAGTGTAGGTTTATGGCGTCTTGTGTCCCTCGACTCGGCCACCTGCTGGTCGGAAGGTGTGGAAGGCAGTATCGGGGATGGACAGACCTCCCTTTAGTAAAACGTGGTTTAGTAAAAAACGACCTCGGGCCCAAACCTGGCGGGCGCAAGCCTGGAAAATAACGGCCGCGGCGCCCTCTCGAGAACCGAAAAAGCACAATTCACTAATCGACGCGTCAGGGTAGGAGGTCTGTCCACCCCCGACAGTAGTAGTCAGCATCGAATCGAAAAATCGGAAGGAATCGGAATGCGCGTCGGACCAGGCTGCATTGGTTCGGAGTCGGATTCGAATCAGAGCCGCTTCGCCAGGATGCACAACAGCGCCGTGCGAGCATCGGGCCGTGTCGGATCGCCCGGAAGTCGAAATCGAATCGGATCGGCCCGCCGAGATCGATATCGGATCGAATCAATCGCATCGACATGGACCCAGGGTTTGGGAGGCGACTGCGGGGTCCGAACTGATGGGGACCCTGGAAAATCTCTCGAGGGGGGGTGAAGCCAAGTCCGCCCAGAATCGGTCCCAGGACCCTCCAGAGGTCCATCCGGTGCAATTCTTCACCCCGGATCTGAAGGTTCCATGGCCCGAAGGTTCCATGGCCCGACGAACGGCCCCGAGGGGCCGAAGAAGGCGAAAAGCATCCTCGAACCCAGGACCTCGAACCTGCCCCCCCTTCCTGCCGGCTGGAACTAATGCTGGGCCACCTCAGACCCCGAGCCGTCTCCACTGTGGGCCCACCCCCCACCGAATGTCGTGGTGAGCACAGAGGAATTACGCGCCACACCACGTACACGAATATAGCACCCCAGTCCGCGAGACCAGTAGAGACCTCCTAGATGGGGTAGGAGTAGATGGGGTCGGAGAATCGCGCCGCATCACCGATACTTTCGGCGATACATTTTCGGCGATACATCGCCGATGCATCGGCGATGCGTCGGCGACGCCAACGTGGAGAAAAACTGGCTCCACATCGAGCCGCATCGCCGATGCCTCGACGACACGGCGCGATCCTCCGACCCCATCTACTCCGACCCCACCCAGGGGCCTAGAACCAGCCTCGTGACACGAGCGCTCGCGCAATGCGTACTTTCAGAACGCCGCCTAGAACCAGCCTCGGGATAACTACAAACGTTCGCGCAGTACGTACTTTCAAAACCAAAGTGGGTTTTTGTTGTTTCGCTCCTGAACGCAACCTTAGGTCGGCCGTGTCCTCCTACAGTGGGATCTTAGACGGAAAAATCAAGAATTGTTACCAAAAAATCAAAAATCCGCCGATCCGGCGCGTGAGTTTCAAAGATCCTCAAAACAGCCTGAGCCTCAATTCCTGAGCTTCAGCTCCACTGGAGGGTGGGTGCCAGGGTGGCTCTGCCGGGGTAGGCGGGCGGGGGGGGGGTGATTTAATTTCCGGGGCGGAATCGGAGCTCCAGCTCACTCCGGGACGGCCCCCTCGCCCAGGAGGGCCCCAAGCGGCCAAGAGGGCCCCGAGTCGCTGAACGATCGCTACAACACGCCCAAAATATCCCCAAGACGGCTCCAGAAGCCTCCAAGATGCCCTCAAAAGCCCTGAAAAGGCCTCCAAAAGAAGGCCAAAAAATTACTCCGACGGAAGAACCCCACATAAGAATCCTCTGGGCGAATCTGGAAAAAACATCACCGTCGTCCTCGTGGTTGGTGAGGCGTCCTGGCTGTCTCTTCTGCGTATATTTCCTGTCGCCTTGGCGCGGGCCCCCCTTCCACTCCTTACGTTGTCCCCATCCTCGCCCCCCTGTTTGTTCCGCGCCCCGCCACCTCCTCCCCTTCCTGTTGCATGAGCGCGCATGTCGATGTTCCTCGGCGCCGTCGCCGCCACGGCCAGCACAGGCGCGTTCTCTACTGGTCACGTCGCGCAGCCGTTGGGACAACCCCGCGGGCCAGGCTGTCGGGACAACCCCGCGAGCCGTTGGCGCGCAAGACCAAGCCGTTGGGACAACCCCGCGGGCTTCGAGCGAGGCGCAGCCGCGCTCAGGCGGAAGGCAGCACGAAGCCCAGCTCTGCCGCGAGCTGCTTCGCCTCCGCCCTGGACAAAACCGCCTGAGACTTCCTCCATATTCAGGCTTGAGGAGCCCAAAAGTGACGACAGTTACAGGGTTCCGATGACCCGCTCGGATTACCAACATGATCTGCGGGCCCCATAGGGAGGGAGCTCCCGCCTGAGACTTCCTCACAATTCACTCACAGACGAGGCTCCCGCCTGAGACTTCCTCCAAATTCAGGCTTGACGAGCCCAAAAGTGACGACAGTTACAGGTTCCGATGACCCGCTCGGATTACCAACATGATCTGCGGGCCCCATAGGGAGGGGGCTCCCGCCTGAGCCTTCCTCAGAATTCACTCACAGACGAGGCTCCCGCCTGAGACTTCCTCCAAATTCAGGCTTGAGGAGCCCAAAAGTGACGACAGTTACAGGATTCCGATGACCCGCTCGGATTACCAACATGATCTGCGGGCCCCATAGGGAGGGAGCTCCCGCCTGAGACTTCCTCCCAATTCACTCACAGACGAGGCTCCCGCCTGAGACTTCCTCCATTTTCAGGCCTGGGGAGCTCAAAAGTGACGACAGTTACAGGATTCCGATGACCCGCTCGGATTACCAACATGATCTGCGGGCCCCATAGGGAGGGGGCTCCCGCCTGAGACTTCCTCACAATTTACTCACAGACGAGGCTCCCGCCTGAGACTTCCTCCAAATTCAGGCTTGAGGAGCCCAAAAGTGACGACAGTTACAGGATTCCGATGACCCGCTCGGATTACCAACATGATCTGCGGGCCCCATAGGGAGGGAGCTCCCGCCTGAGACTTCCTCCCAATTCACTCACAGACGAGGCTCCCGCCTGAGACTTCCTCCATTTTCAGGCCTGGGGAGCTCAAAAGTGACGACAGTTACAGGATTCCGATGACCCGCTCGGATTACCAACATGATCTGCGGGCCCCATAGGGAGGGGGCTCCCGCCTGAGACTTCCTCACAATTTACTCAACGATGATGAGGATGAGGATGATGAGTGGTGGTGAAGATGAGTGGTGAAGAGGATGATGATTGATTGTGAGTGGTGGTGGCGATGATGATGTTTGAATGAGGATGATGCCGATGCCGATGATGATGATGATGATGATGATGATGATGATGATGATGATGATGATGTTCATGAGCGTGTGAGAGAGTGCGAGTGATGATGATGATGAGTATGTGAGTGACTAAGCATGTGAGAGAGCATCATCGATGATGCTGATGAGGTTGATGATGAGAGAGTGTGAGTGAGTGTGAGTGGGTGTGTGTGTGTGTTCCTGTTCCTGCGCGGGGTGTCCAGAGAAAACAAGAACCCCACTTTGGATGTGGGGAACAAAAAGTCTCCCTGTCCCACAGGAAAACATACAATTTCAACACATTCGCGTCTTGGGCCTTCATAGCGTCGCTGACGCCCCAAGAGAGCTCCAAAACGGCCCAAGAAGCCGCCAGGACTGCTCCAAGACGGCCCAAGAAGGGCCCAAGATGGCCCAGGAGGCCCCCAGAAAGGCCCAACGTGGCCCCAGGACGGGCCCAAGGGGCGCCTGACAGGGCGCCAAGACGGCGGAAGAAGTGCCGAAAACGGCCCAAGAAGCCCGCAGCAGGCCCCCTGAGGCCCCCAAGAGGCCTGAAGAGGCCCCATGACGCTTCCAACTGGCCCCGAAGAGGCCCACTGAAGCCCCCATAAAGGCCCCCAAGAATTTCAAAAAATGCATCCAAGCAAGACGCCTTCTGAAGGCCTCCAAGCTGCCTCCAAGACTACCCCCGAGAAACCCAAAACTTGCCCCAATGCTTCCCCATCCTCGTCATGCTCCTCCTTCTCCCCCACCCCTTCTTCCAGTTCCCGCTTCCTCCTGCTCCTTCCGGCAGCAGAGGAAGCGTCCCGGATCGGCGGCACTGGCCGGAGGCCACTACAGAATTCGAAAAACACTAGAAAAATCGGCCCCCTCACTGTGCCCTGACCATTTTTGAACTTTCCTCCTGCAGAGGGACACGCCCCCGACCTGCACGTAGCGTAGCGCCCCCCCCGGGGCGCACCGCGGGCCCGGTCGCGGGCGGCGGCCGGGGGCAATCTGCGGACGCGGCGCCGGGCCCGGGGGCCGCCGGCGGCGCCTGCGCGGGGCGGGAGGCGGGGCGGGGGTCGGCACAGGTCGGGCAGGTCCCCCTGCACGCGGGCTCTGGAGGAAAAAAATATGCGAAAAAAAACTTCCGAAATGTCAAAAAAATCGTGGAAAAATCGTCCCCTGCCTAGGCTCTGCCTAGAAGGGTTCTGACTCTCTTTGCTTAAAGGGGCCGGGCAGTGGAACGCGCCCCGGGCGGTTCCCCCAGGATCCGCCCCGCGGTTCCACCAGTTACGTCCCCTTAGCTGAGCGTTGCTTATCTCATCTTAGCTTAGCTTATTCATCTTAGCTTAGCTTAGCTTAGCTTCATCTTAGCTCAGGTTTATCTTAGCTTAGCTTACCTTAATCTTAGCTTCGCTGAGTTTTAGCACAGCAGAGCACAGCATAGCATAGCATAGCATAGCATAGCTTTAGCATAGCGTGTAATTCCCTACCTAGGCTATGCCTAGAGGGTTAGTTTAGCTTAGCTTAGCTTAGCTTAGCTTAGCATAGCGCAGCGCTGCATTAGCATAGCATAGCATAACATAGCCAAGCATACCATAGCATAGCATAGCATAGCATAGCATAGCATAGCATAGCATAGCATAGCGCAACATAGCATAGCCTAGCATAGCATAGCATAGCATCGCGCAGTTTAGCATAGCATAGCATAGCATAGCTTAGCATAGCACAGCGAAGCATGACATAGCATAGCTTAGCATATCATAGCATAGCATAGCGCAGCATAGCATAGCATGGCATATCATAGCATAGCCCAGCATAGCATGGCATAGCATGGCATAGCATAGCATAGCAACTAATGCTGCTTTCCTAGGGGCTCCAACTTCTAGGTAGGGTCGCACCGGGGTAATTTTTACAATTCTGGGATATTGTTCCTGTAGAGGGAGACGCCCGGCTTAAGGGTCGGCGGCTGGGCGGTGCGAGGGCTGAGGAAACGCTGGGAGGAGGTGCTGGGAATCGGGAAGATCGGCCACGGGGGAAAAAAAAGTGGCCCAGGCAGAAAGCTGCTCTGCGGAGGTCCGCGCTGATTTCTCGGCTCGGCGCTGAAGCACCTTGGCGGCGCCTCTGGCGCCGCACCTGGCGCGCTCCGCGCGCCTGGTAGGGAATCTCTGAGGGCCGGCGGGCACGGAGGACGTACCGGACGCCGCGGCCCGAGGGCGCCAGCGACTCACCAGAACTTTTTGAGTACTTGGGGCGGCCCCCAGAAAGATGACGACCGCGCATGCTCGCAGTCGGCGGTCCAGCTGCTGCCGCAGCTTTGCCTCGCCTGGTGAGCCTCCGCGCGGGGTGGGAGCGGGGTGCGAGGAGAGGCGGCGGTCGGGATGCCTGGAGGCTGACGGGGGCTGGGAGAAGATGAAGACAGGGTGTCACTTGATTTTTGTTTCGCAGGAGGAAGCGCGGGAAGCGAAATCTGGCGGGGCATTCCTTCGCAACGCTCTCTGGGCTGTCACGTCGCTTCCCGCGGCAGCTGGCCCATGCCAGAAGCCGAGCGGCGGAGGAGGCCACGAGAAGGCGCGAGGCGGCGGCTAACAGAAGGCAGGGTGTCACTCGAACCCTTTTTACCCACCAGCCCTTGGCAGTCTTCGCGGGCCTTCGGCAGTCTTCGGCCGTCTTCTGGCGGTCTCCTGGCGGTCTTCTGGCGGTCTTCTGGCGGCCTTCGGCGGTCTGCCGGCGGTGTTCGGCGGCCTGCGTCGGTTCTCTGACGGTCTTCGGCGGCCTTCGGCGACTTCTGGCAGTTCTCGGCGCAAGAGCTTGATAGTCACGGTTAGCAAGGGGCCCATGGTCGAACGCGAACAGAACTAGGATAGATTAAGGTGGGGATAAAGATCGGAGATCTCTGAGGACCGGCGGGCAGGGAAGACATGTCGGACGCCGCGGCCGTTCCAGAGCGATCCAGAGCGCCCTGAGAGCGTTCCAAAACGCTCTGAATTGAATATTATATATGTGCATATATATATATGCACACATACATACAGATGGATAGACATATATACACATGTGTTTACATAGAGAGAGATGCAGATACATGTATTTCCCAAGCAGTGCTTGCAGAGAGGGTTTCTCACTTCTCTTCTTAAGGAACTGGCCCTGACCTGCGGTCTGGCAGCTCCGCTCGCCGTCGCCGCCCCGTGCACGGCCTCGTCGCCGGCCGTCGTCTGGGCCTGATTGTCGGTCTGGCGGCTCCGTGCTCGCCGTCGCCGCCCCGTCGCCGCCTCATCGCCGCCCGTCGTCTGGGCCTGGGTGTTGGTCTGGCGGGTCCGTGATCGCCGTCGCCGCCTCGTCGCCGCCCTGCCGCCGCCCTAGATTGCCCCGCATAGACTGCACCACATGGACGGCACAACATCGATTACACCTCATAGTTTGCACAACATATATTGCACCAAATAGATTGCACCTCATAGGTTGCATCACATAGATTGCACAACTTATATTGCACAACATCTATTGCTCAACATCTATTGCACGCCATATATGGCAAAGCATTGATTGCACAACATAGATTGCACCACATCAATTGCACCACATGTATTGCACCACACATAGAGTGCACAACATAGATTGCGCAACATAGATTCCACTACATTTGTTGCTAAAAGCACACTGGTTGGGGTCCAGGCTAACATATCTGTATAGTTCAACATAAACGCAGGTGCATGGATGTGTGTATATATACATATATATATACATATGTATGTATGTGTAGATCCTCCTCGTAGACCTTCCTGACGAGAGGCTCTGGGGTCTCAGGACGTTCTTTCGAGGCGAAGCAAGCAAGCACCATGGCAAAAGTGAGCGAGACTCCCTACGATTTATCCCCCAGGCGGTGGTTAGGGATACGTGAGCGTTTTCTTATTCGGCGTTTCGACATTGGGCGGAAGGGGGGGGGAGGGGGGAGGTCTGGCTCTGGACCCCTGCTCACTGCGACTCTTTGCAAGAGTGCGGCCTCCGGGGGAGACTCCACCCGCTCGAAGCAGGCACCAAAAACAGCCACGATCTGCTCCATGGGGGGGGCGTGAGGGGGGAGGGGGGTTGCGAGGGCCCGCGCCGATCGGCAAAACAATGAATAAAAAAACGGGGGACAAAAAACAAAAGTGAATAAAAACAACGAATGAATAAAACAATAATCAAGCAGAACAACGAATAAAAAATAGTGAATAAAAAACGATCACCGGATCGCGGTACCTCGGGAAGCTCAGCGAGCCAGCGGGCCTCGGAGGGGCGCGTCGGGCGCCGCGGCCGCTCTGGAGCACCCCGCGCTCCGAGAGTGCTCCGGAGCGCTCTGAAGCGGCTCGTCTTCGTCCCTGGCCTCCTCCTCCTCGTCCTCGTCCTCCTCCTCGTCGAACCTCCTCCTCGTCGAACCTCCTCGGCCTCCTCCTCCTCCTCCTCCTCCTCCTCCCAGGCCTCCTCCTCCTCCTCCTCCCAGGCCTCATCCTCCTCCTCCTCCTCCTCGTCAGACCTCCACGGGGTTCTGAGCGACGAACAGAAACGGGTCCAGCGCCAGAGGACGTTGGCTACACAGAGGCTCACGCGGGCCGCCGGCGCAGCACGCCGCGGTGGAAACCAGGGCGCCCGCGCGCGACCTTGCGCGGGCAGCTTGCGCGCCAACGTCGGTGAAGACGACCCCGTTTTCATTCGTCGCTTATGACGAACGAGCAACACACACACACACACACACACACCCATACCCATAGGAGGGTCGTTGGGAGGAGGACTGGCTATGGGTATGGGTGCGGGTTGTCGGACCCTGGGGAACGCTCCCGTTCGAGCGGGGACCCCCATCTGACAACACGCACCCATAGCCCTCTCGGACCCCCCTATGGGTATGGGTGTGTGTTGTTGGTTCGTCAGCTTATGTAAACCCCACCCCTCCATGCCTGATTTCTGGAAGAACGGCTGGGTTCAAAATCCGAAGGCTGTCGGCAGCCAAGCGAGCCCCAGCGGGGGTGTCCGATGCCTCAGCGTCGGTTGGACTCGCCAATGTAGATGAAGACGACGTCGGTGAAGACGACCCGGTGTCCGCCGCTCACCTTGACTACCTACCTACCAGACCACTCCAACCCATCCCGAAGACCCGAATTTAACCCGAGTTTCGGGTTGGGGGGGGTACGGGTTCCATGTGTTTTTCAATGTTCCCCGACCCCCCCACCCACTGGAAATGGAAGGCAAATCGAGGCTTTCGGGTTGGGTTGGGGTGGTTCGGTGGGTCGTGACATCTGGAAGCCTCTGGAGGCCTCCAGGAGCCTCGGAGGGCCTCGGAGGGCTTCGGAGGGCCCCCTCCTCAGCTCCTCCGCGGGGACCTCTGGGAGGGCTCCGCGGGCAGCCGCGAGCACCTCCGGAGACCTCTGGGGGCGCGCCGCGGTGGGGGGCGGCCTTTTTATCCTGTTTCCAGCCTTTGGCCTTCATCTTATTTAGCAACTGGCTAGAATTCTCTCTGTCTCCTTGGACTCAACTGCTGGCACTTTGCCCTGTTGCAATCATTTGAGAGCCCGCTGACCATGCACTGTAGGCTTGCCCTCACAACGATTGAATAAATTCCTCGCACCTTTCTGTGCGTAGAAGCCGCGGTCCCCAACCCTCATTCTAGTTGGGTCGCTGTTTTGAATGGAGGGCTGCTCGAGCGTCCTTTTCCTCCCGCCTCTTCCTTTCTCCCTCCCGCTCCCCAGTCTCCCCATGCACCTCATTCTGCACCGATCTGCGTCGATCGAAACGGCGTCACAGGGACATCAGACTGGGACACCGATTTGAGCCATCAAGTGGGGCACGTTCATGAGATGTTGGAGGTCCAGAGCCATGCATTACGCACATCCAGACGAGACCTCGCGGCTCCCTGGCGGGCAGCCACCAGCTCAACTGTCGCCACTTTCGCGGGCTCCTCGGAGGTCCAGAAGAGCGGTCTTACGCGCATCCATACAAGACCTCGCGGCTCCCTGGGGGGCCTGCCACATGTGTAACTGTCGCCACTTTCGCAGGCCACTGCGAGGTCCAGTGGAGCGGTGTCTCACGCGCATCCAGAAGGAACCTCGCTGCTCCCTAGCGGGCTGCCAGGCAACTGTCGCCACTTTCGCGGGCTCTTGGGAGGTCAGCGGAGAGGTGACGTACGCGCATCCAGACGACACCTCGCGGCTCCTTGGTGGGCTGTCACCTGCGCAGTTGTCCGATTTTCGCGGGCTCCTGGGAGGTCCAGCAGAGCGGTGTCGTACGCGCATCCAGACGCTGCCACCTGCACAGCTGTCGCCATTCTCGTCGGGTCCTGAAAGATTCAGCGGGGCGGTGTCTTAAGCAGTACGCATACAATACCCAATGGAGACCTCGCGGTTCCCTGGCGGACTGCTTACGGCGCAACCGTCGCCACTGTCGTAGGCACCCGGGAGGCCCAGCGGAGTGACGTCATACGCACACCCAAACAACTCCTCGCGACGCTTGGAGCTGCCACCTGCTTAACTGTCGCCACTGTCGTGGGGTCCTGGGAGGCCGACGAATGTAGCGCGGTGCTGCCACTCGCACTACTCTTTCCTGGTTCCGCCACCTTCCTTCTGTACTTCGGCCAGGTCGTCGTCATCCTCATCATTGTGACATGAGCTGAGAGTGTGGCCCAACGTTCTTTGGCGAAGCGTTCTCAGAAGACTGCAGATCCCTCGATGCGTTATTCTGACTTGAACGGACCCTGTCTATGACGCCTCGTGTTGCGAAAGGGTCGGGCACGATCCTGGGATGCTATGTTCTACGCGTGGCGGTTTTCGACCCGTCGCGGTCGGGCGCGCACTAACCCGGATCAGCGCAAACCTGGCTCAGCCAATATGGAAACAACGAATTGCAATTTTTGGGGGGGCTTCCGAAACCCGGCTCGGCCAATATGTAAGGCTATTTCGAAGGGCGCGGGCGGCGGGCGGCTTCCAAACCCGGCTCAGCCAAACGCCAGCTTTGCAGGATCCTTCAGGATCCAGCGCCATGGCCGAGCCCCGTGAGCACACCGCCCCGTCACGTGAGCCCCGTGGCGGGGCTTCTGCGGGCCTCTGGCAACCCCGGACCCGGGGAGGCCTCCGAAGAGGCCTCCGAAAGCTCCTGGCCCGGACGTCGCGGAGGGGCCTTGGCGGGCGTGTGCCGCCCCGTCTCGGGCCCCGGCGCGCCGCCACAGATCAACCTGGCCCGAGGACTCAGCACGGAGGAAACGTAACTGACTACGTACCAGACCACCCCAACCCGAAGACCCGAATTTCGGGTTGGGGGGGGGTAAGGGTTCCACGCGTGTTTTTTCGATGTTTCCCGACCCCCCCCCACACTAGAAATCGAGGGTAAATCTGTGAGCCTTCGGGTTGGGTTGGGGTGGTTTGGCGGGTGGTGAGTAACGTGGTCAGGCAGCAAAGATCTGTCGGCAGCAGCGGGGCGCCACCCGCACACGTTGAGCACCGAGCGCCGGTCCCCCCTCTCCCTCGGCAACTGCGCCAGCGGCGACGCTGGCGGCCCGTCGACGCCCGCGGCGGCTGGCACAGACGCGGCAAGACGGATTCTACCGGCGCCCACTTGGATCCAAGCAGCGGTGGCGAATCAAGCCGTGACGACGAGGGCCTCCCAGGAGACCCAGAAAGGAGAGGGCGAAACGAGGAAAGCGTATCGATAACTTCTGCTCCTCCGAGAGCGTGCCGACCCACGCCGGGCGCGGGCGCGCGCGCCGGGCACCTCCAGGGGCGCTCGCGCATTGCTGGCCACGGCGCCTGGCTCGGTAGAGCCATCAGCGTCGGACGCTGCCCGCGTCCTTGCCGGGGGAGGGTGCACGCGGAAGGCGGGGTGGTCATGTACATTTTGAACAGCGCTTTCCCGATTTCTAACCCCACTGGCGTGGCGTTGGTCCCAGTAGCCGATGCACTCCCTAAATGGGAGTGTACGCGATGCCGTTTCGGGTGTCGCGTGAGGGTGGGATGGTGGGGTGCGGATACAATGGCCCACCGGGATGGGGATATGTTAAACATGTTGCTGCATACGCACACACACAAATTTGTATACAAACATACAAACCGACAGACATACATACATGCACACATACATAGACATACATATACACACATACAAACATGCATCCATACATACATACACAGCTGCACACGTACAGCTAGCGTTATACGCGCCAACCCGAGGGAGTAGAGCTCTGAAGCGATGAAATGAAGACGCCCGCGTTGTTTCTAACCGATGTTTACCGAATCGCAGATTGAACGGCCGTCGCCATTCCGTGCTGTAGTGACTGCAAGAGATGGAGGTTATTGAGGTGATGACAGTGGGATTAAAGATATGTTTCGTCTCCTGACTAGCGCCGCAAACAGTACGCAGCAGGCGGAGCCAGCCACGTAGGCAGATAGGGCGGCGTGGCCTTGAGCCAGGGCGGCGGCGGCCGAGCGATATGAAAGATGCCCTGGAGACATCCCCCGAATGTCGAGGGGAGGAACGAATCTCGGCCGTCGCCACCTTGTATGTAGGTCCAATGCAGCGCTCACCTCAAGCACAAAAGAGCGGTAGTCAAAAGCATCGACCACAGACGCAGCGCATAAAAACAGGGCACATGGGGCTAGGTCACGTCTCCACGAGCCCAGCTGCCTGGCACTAAAATGCGACGGGCAGAACCGAGCTGCAGAATACAGTCTGGGCGAAACGGACCATGGAAATCGGCCCTGAAGGCCTAAGAACGGACCGATGAGGTCTGATCCAAAATCGGCGCAGGTCGCGACTCCGCAACAACAGGGCGCAACGAATGCGCTCGCAGTTCCGCGACAGCAGGGCGCAAAAGGACCGCGGAAACGCGCTCGGAAACGCGCTCACATATGAGCCCGCGAATGCTCTGCACGGGGCCAGCAAGAGGCACCACTTTTCATTGGGGGGCCCGCAAATATACACCACCACCAAGCGGCAATAGAAAATAGAGAACACACGCGCGCGACTGCCCGGGCAAGGGCCGCCACAGCGCACCCACGCCAAACGCAAGCACTTGCCCCATAACCCACGCCACAAAAATGTACACACAGACACCCCTGGACGAAATTTGCGCGCACCGTCACCTTTAAGGAAGAGTGGGGCGTGTAAAGTCGCCAGCCCCCAGCGGCGATTCATGCACCGCCACCCTCACTTCGGGCCCCAGAACAACCCATTGAACGGTGTTTGCGTATATCTCTCATAACAATCTTCTGTGTGGCCGCCGGGCCCACCGGGCTCGCCGGGCCCGCCGGGCCCGTGTGCCGCCGGGCCCGCCGGGCCCGCCAGGTCCGCCGGGCCCACAAACCCCACCGGGGGCCCACCGGGCCCGCCGGGCCCTCGCCGGGTTCGCAGGGTTCGCCCAGCCTCCTCCTCCTCCCCCGTCTCCTCTTCCTCCTCCTCCTCCTCCTCCTCCTCCTCCTCCTCCTCCTCCTCCTCCTCCTCCTCCTCCTCTTCTTTTTATTATTATTATTATTATTCTTATTACTACTATTATTATTATTATTATTATTATTATTATTATTCTTGTTATCATTATTATTCTCCTTATTACTATTATTATTATTCTTATTCTATTATTATTATTATTCTTATTATTCTTATTATTTTTCTTCTTATTATTATTCTTATTATTCTTCATCTTATTCTTCGTATTATTATTATTATTAGTCTTCTTATTATTATTATTTGTATTATTATTCTTCTTCTTATTATTATTCCTTCTTCTTATTATTAATATTAATATTATTCGTATTATTCTTATTAGTATTATTCTTATTATTATTCATAATAGTATTATTATGATTATTAATATTATTACTATTATGCTGATTAGTATTATTAATAGCTTACTATTATTATGAGTATTCCTATTATTCTTCGTATTATTATTCTTATGATTATTATTTCAATGATTATTAGTATTATTATCAATGTTATCATTGTTAGTATTAATAGTGTTATTATTATTATTCGTATTATTATTCTTCTTCGTCTTAATATGTGTATTCTTCTTCTTCGTATTATTAATATTAATATTACTATTATTACGATGGTGATTAGCATTATCAGTATTATCATTATTATTAGTAATATTATTATGAGTATCAGTATTATTATTATTATGATTACTATTATTATTACTGTTATTAATATTATTATTAGTAGTAATAGTCTTAGTATTAGTATTACTCTTCTTATTATTATTCTTATTAGTATTCGCATTTGTCTTCTTATTATTATTCGTTTCATTATTAATATTATTCATATTATTCTTCTTAGTTTTATTCTTCTGCTTATTACTATTAGTATTATAATTATGAGTATGATGATCATTATTCTTCTTATTATTATTCTTCGCATTATTAGTATTATTAGTAGTAGTAGTAGTAGTAGCATGCTTCTTATTAATATTACTCTTATTAGTATGCTTCTTCTTATTATTTTTATTATTCTTATTATTCGCATTATTATTTTTATTATTACTATTAGTGTTATTGTTCATCTTATTATTCTTATGATTTTTCTTATTATTCAAATTATTATTAGTACTACTATCATTATGTTCATTAGCATTCTTCTTCTTATGATTCTTCCTCCTCCTCCTCCTCCTCCTCCTTTTCTTTTCCTCCTCCTCCTCCTCCTCCTCCTCCTCCTCCTCCTTTTCCTCCTCCTCCTCCTCCTCCTCCTCCTCCTCCTCCTGCTCCTCCCTCCTCCTCCTCTCCTCCTCCTCCTCCTCCTCCTCCTCCTCCTCCTCCTCCTCCTCCTCCTCCTCCTCCTCCTCCTCCTCTCCTCCTCCTCCTCTCCCCTCCTCCTCCTCCTCCTCCTCCTCCTCCTCCTCCTCCTCCTCCTCCTCCTCCTCCTCCTCCTCCTCCTCCTCCTCCTCCTCCTCCTCCTCCTCCTCCTCCTTCTCCTCCTCCTCTATCCTTGCTCA